TTAACGTCCCCATGTTCAATTTTACTTTTTCTCTCTCTTTATATGAAATTATAAGCACATCTCTTCGTGCAATCAAGATTTTCCACACCCCCGAATTCTGTAGTCAGAAAATTAAATGCATCGCTTGTTCTAATCCTTGATTGTGTCATCGATCTCAACACTTCTGCATTCATATCACTCATCTTTCTACTGGAACACAATAGATGTTTGTCACAGTCCGCCGCCAAAGGATGGTTATGAATCTCTATAAATTTCTTAACCGGCTAGTTACCTTCGACATCGACGACATATCGGATCATGGCTGAACAACTAGTCCTTGTGTCCCGTCTTCTGTCTTTCACTGTCACATTGTTATTCAATTCTTTCTTGAAACCAACTTTACCATAAATGAAATCCTTTACCTTAATCATTTTAGAATTTGACAAAAAACTAATGTGGTCCTTCCGCACAGTAAATCCAATTTCGTGTGCATATGCACAATATTGTTCATAGGCTTCCTTCTCATTATGAACCATTGTGCGAAGCAACCTTTCCGCAATTGGATTAATGCACACAGTTACAGGCTCGGAGAACTGCAAATTTTAATATATCACCATTAGAATGACAAAAATAACGCATAAATAAAATCAATTCATAAATCCAATAAAGCTATGATGAAACGATACATAAATAATACTATAATACATACTACCACCATAATAATACATAAAAAATATCATAATAACATAAATGTTATTCAGAACCAATAATACAATAATAATACTATAATACAACTATAATAACACCAAAATAACACTATTTACAATCACAACATAACACCATGATAATACCAAAACAGATGAAATATACTATGGTTGTATTATGACATTATAATAAAACAGATGTACAGTTCAAAGTGACTGTTTTATTTTAGTGTTTTTATGGTGTTATTCTGGTGTTATTATGATAATATTAATATAATATAAGTGTTTTTTCTTTCTGGTGATATTTTGCTGTTATTTTGGTTGTATTATGATTCTAAACCCTTAACCAAAAAATCATGATAATACCTAGTCAACAACACACCCATCCTCCAACATAACAGTAATGTTGCAATCAAATCATATAGTAATCAAACCAGAATAGCTCCACAATATTTCAATCATCTCTGAACCCTAATAGTACAAGTAAATAGAAAGAAATAAGTTCACATGCGGAACAGTTCGGGCCTCAGCTAATAAGCTCAGCTCATTGGCATCATTCACACAATCATTTTGCAATTCCATCAATATTACTTGGTCGGGAGAGAAATCCATCGAAAGAACCCTAGCTGAATACGAACGCAAATGGAAAAATAAAATATTTCCTGAACCCTAAAAGGAATTAAAGCTAAAAATTTACAATTTGGCGGGATCCAAAATGCCAAAATATATGATTTGACGGGATCAGAAAGTGACAAATAGACGCTTTTTGGATATTGGGTGGGGCTCGGGCCGGGTCGCGATGTAAAAACAATTTTTTCGCTAGTGGGCCATAACTCCAGCTGTCAATTTTTTTATTGGCTACCACAGGTAACCATGCGTGCGGTCTTCAGACTGAATAATTTTTCTGATATTAGGGTTTTTTTTAGGGAGATTTCCCTAACTAACGCGTACACTTTTATTTTACACACATTCCATTTTAAGTGTTGATGAAAAAGATAGATTTAACTGTCAATAATTAATAATCAACTACTTTTCTTATTATATTTATTTATGTATTTAAGATCTAAATTTTCACATTTCTATATATAGTATTTGAATCTCTAACATCATAACAAAACAAAACAAAACATCATTATTTTTAAGAAAAATAAATATGCTTTTTTATGCATAAATTTTAACACTAAATTGTTATGAATATTATGTGCTAAAAAATATTCTGCATAGATCTCAATGCAATCTGCAATCTGTTTTTGTCGAATTGACTACCCTCCACCGATTTTTTTTCCAACAGAACACTTTTTCTTCAACGAAAGACTTTTCATCTAACTGAGAAATTTTCCTTTAACAAATGATTTTTCCCCCAACTATGACTTTTCCTTTGACTAGCCGTCGAAACTTTGATTCCCCCAACAGAAAAAACTCCAAAATGACTTATCCAACTGTTGATGAGGAGCATTACATGCCAACACAAAACACTAAAATATCAATTACCAACTCTTTCTAAAGCAAGAACAATATTGTAATTTACTTTTGATCTTCCTATCATCTATAAATAAGAGAGTCCTTTCATATAAATGGGTATTTTTTCGATTCCTACTTGTAACATCTTCATTTTATGTAACATAATGAGTCCACGAGCCCGGGAACACCTCGATTCGCCCCGAGGGGGCCAATCTTCCGCTTCTCCTCATCTCCTTTTCTCTCCGTCTCTCCCTCGCTCAATCTATTTTTCTCGGTCCCCGACATTTTATCCCTTGGGCACGATCTAACTTACATATTTAGAATCAACAAATATAAATATTAGACATGTAATTGCATAATAATTATGGGATATGTATATAATTTTTCTTCTTATTTTCTTTAGGGGCGATAGGCTTTTAAAAATTATACTTGGTTAGGCATCTCAAGAGGCTTCTAAAAACTATAATACATGGGGTTGGTTGTTGGGTAGGGGTGTAAGTGAATCAAATTTTAGCAAGCTCAAGTTTTCAATTAGTTGTGTTTGACTTCTATTGAAAATGACTCAAAAATAGTCTGCATGTATTTGGCTCAATAAGTTCAAAATATATTTGAAATAGCCTTGTGTTTGGCTTTTAAAACTCACAAGCTTATTTTCATTTATAACAAAATATTCAGAGGTTCATTTACCTTTTAAACAATACTTAGAAAGAGATTCTTCACTTTATCATTGAACCGAGTCGATCCGCGTATATCATAGTTCGGATTTGGCTTATTATAATTATAAGTTATTCGTGTTTGACATGAGTTTTTTTCAAGGTTTAATATATTATTCATGTTTGACATTGAATACGAGCTATTTAACGAGTCGAGCATGAGCTATTCTTGATCGATATGCTCTTTTACCCGTGGCCCTCATGTGTAAGAGAGATTATTATGTAAGGATAAGATAGGTGCAAATTGAGTGTACTTTAGGGGTATTATTAGTGTTTCTAAGGTGTACCTGCTAAGTACAAGAATTTTTTGTAGGTGTGCATCCTAAATATACCCTAAATGCACTCATCTGTAATTCGTATTTAATAGTTTTTTTTAGGCCATAATTAATTTGAATACATGCATGCAACTATTCCATTAATAAGCAGGTGTAAAAAAAAATGTACATACGTATCCCAACATTATTATGAATTTAGATATGTAATACTTTAATTTATATAAATGATACACCACCATCAAATTTTCATCTTCCAGTTTGATATTTGATGCATGACATGTATATTAAGGTAATCTTTTGAACAATAAACATTCAATCTTCGATTAAAGCAAAGTATTACACCTCTTCAACACTTTTCCATTCATCATGTGCTCGTCGAGAAATTCTGAAGGAAGAATCATCAAGCCTCGTGAAACCTGCTGGAAATTATTATTAAAAACCAAAATTCCGAAGTAGACCGCTCCTAGTGTGTAGGTGCCTAAGTGTCAAGCTCTCGAAAAGCAGAAAACCGTGCCGAACATATTTGGCACCAAATGGGCGACACATATGTTCAGCCCTTGTTGTGTTGCGCCATATGATGGGAGCTCTGAACAGTCTTCATATTTACGTACTGTGGTCACATAATGTGGTGTGGCTCACCATAATCTCAACATCCATGAAACCAACTGAACCCAAACATAGCTTCAGCTTCTCAATAGTTACCACATTCTTTAACATATCCACAAGATTCTGAGTTGTTTATCTTCTGTAGGAACAACTGCTCATTTTCAAGAAGAGAGCTAATAAAATGATACATCAGTGGAATATGTTTCGTCCTAACATGACAAACTGTTTTTAACAAGATGAATTGCACTCATATTGTCATTGTAGAGTTTTTCAATTCTTTGCTCTTTGCTAGCATCAGTGATAATAATACATTCTGTCTTCATAGTTGAAAGTGCAAAGATATTTTGCAACATGGAACTCAACTTACCGCTGTGTTCTTCAATATGAAGATATACCCTGTTGTACTTCTCCTACTAACTACATCTCCTGCAATATCTGATCTACAAATCCTCGTAGACTGATCACTGCACTTCCATAACAAAGTGTTTTGTTGAATGTTCCCTTCAAATACCTGATAATCAACTTTAGCGTCTCCCAATGATGTCTGTCTGGATTGTTTATGTACACACATAACATGTACTAACATTTATACATACATCACAAAATTCTTATTTTTTTACATATGTGTCAACAAAATTTTAATTTTTACATTTATATAATCCAAATCTTTCACATTATATCGAAAATATCATGATTTTTTTTAAACTTTTAAAAAATGAAATACAAAATTTAATGCATATAAAAGATGACATATATGTAAACATTGAAGTTTAAGTGTTGGATATGCGAATCCTTAAGAAGTGAATGACATGCATATAAATCTTCCAAAAATGTATTTTATTTTCCTAAAAATTAAATAGTGATATTTTAGTTGTCATTGGAGTGACACAAATGTAAAAATATAGTTTAGGGGTTGGATATGTAAAAACATACTGCTCTATATGTAATTATCCCAAAAAATAAAAATTGATTAGCTTAATAAATATAAAACACTTAAATTAGTGGTCAGTTTTCATCTTTTCGAAAAAATATTACATTAGAGTCCTGATGTAAAATTTTATCATGACTCTAATAATAATGCATCATGTTTAAGGTCCGACTTCACTGTATATAAAAAACTAAATAATTTAATGTATAATAAGATCAGACCATATAAATGACGCATTATGATTAAAAACATGATATAATTTTTCATAATCACTTCCTATGTAATATTTTTACTACTTCCCATGACGATGAAGATTTGAAGTGACGAGGTCACAATGAGGAGCACTATTTATGTGCGTCATATACATGCAATTCTGCGTGCGTATGACCCTAAATAATCTTTCAATAACTCAATTATTGGGTTTTAACCCCAATAATATATCAATAACCTTCCAATAGTCTACTAACATATTTAGTGGTTCGACGCTAATCTTTTTTCCTATTATTTTAGGGTTTGTTATTGAAGTATTAACCCGAATAATAAAGACATGACAGTGTAAGACATGACAGTGTAAGACCCTTTAAATAAATTTCATAAGCCCATTCTGTAAATATTTTTAGGTGAAGCTATCCCCACTACCTTTCGCGCTGTTCTATCGCTAAATCCCATTAATCCGCCGAACTCGCGGATACAGTAAACTGGGGAGTTGCGGCAAAATCGAGCAAGAACGGGATTTGAGATTCCGTAGGATTTATCAAAGTTACCATTTTTTTTCTGTTTGGCAGGATTTAGCTCAAATCCTGCTCAAACCCTGCTATCAAACATCTCTAACTTTTGATTCCTCCAAAGAATGGCCGGCAGAATCCCTAACTGGCTTCGACTAATAGCTCCGCCCGCCGCGGTTCCTCGTCGGCGGTCTATTTACAGTCTCATTAGCTTCTTCCGTAGCAATTCGGGGGCTTCAATCTGTTTCCGAAGCAAAGAGGGTGTTTTCCCTTTCCTCGGTTCCTCCAAAAAGAGATTTTGAGTTAGATTTATATGATTTTGTTCTTATTTAAAATTGATTTTTGATTCAGAAGAAGCTTGCGATTTCATGTTCGTGTTGCAAAGGCAAAGGCTTCTACAGCTGCAAATTGTGCAGAGGGAATTCCACCATAGAGTGGTCTCCGTTGTATGATCCAGTCGCCATTAATCCATGCCTTTGCCCAACATGTGATGGGAACAGGTTGCAGCAGCTTTTAGGGTTTTCAGCTTAAATTCATAGAGTTTTTTTTCCTTATTTGTTATTGTTGAGAGAGCTTAATGGGGATTTTTCACTGCACAGGATACAGCGGTGTTTAAATTGTCTGGGGAAGGGATACACCTGAACATTGAAGCAGTTAGGGTTTGGATGTTTTCTGCTGAAAAAATGTCATCTTTTGAGCTCCTCTGTGACCAGGATTTTGAGGGTTTTCTTATAAGCTGCTGTAATGGCAGACACTTAATGATTTGTTATGGTGATTACTGTGATTTTTTATATGTTTAGTTGCCTATTGACATAATTTAGGGAGTTTTCACAATGGAATTCGTTAGATTTCGAGTGTATTTAATAGTTTTTTGGCGGCAAAAATGCCTCCATTGAGTCTAACTTGATACCTCAAAGATGGTATTTTTCTTGCTTTGATCAACTTTGAAAAAGCTTCACATAATGTCTTTTGATCGGCCATTACACATTAACAACTTTTAAGTTCGTTGGTGAATTCTAAATATGTTCGCCTTCTCGTTAGTTGTTGCCGCCATTGCCATCGACAACCACCAGTCATTGCTATTGCCACCACAGGCCGATCATCACCACTGGATGTCATTGTCATCTGTGGCACTTGAGTAAATTTAGCAGATAAAGAGCCACTCAGCCTAGTTCACTATATAAATTGATTTAAAAATGATATTATAACTACAATTGTTTTTTTTAATTATTTAAATAAAATTTAAAAGTTTAAAAAAATGTTGACTTAGTTAAAAAAGAAAGATTCACGTACATACCGCACAATTTTTATGTATCTGCATATTTAACACATAAACTTCAATTTTTACATACATGTCGTCTTCCCTGCTCATATGAGTGTCATTTTCTATAAATTAAAATGATGAAAATTTTAATGTGATATAAAATATTGCGGTTGCATAAATGTGAAAAAAATAAAATTCAAGCTTTAGATATGTAAATGCATAGAAATTGGATTGTATGTAGGGGTGTAAACGAGCCGAACACGAGCTACTGAACACGAGCGAGCCCAAGCTTAGCTAGTGTTCGGCTCGTTTGCTTAACGAGCCGAATACGAGCCGTTTACGAACAAAGAGTCATTTTGACACCTCTAATCACGTAGCCCTAAGATTTAATGATTGTAGCAAAATTTAAACCATAATTTGAATCTGATTAAATAATTTTTATTCTATTTTCTTCATTAATAATTTTAATTGATTATAAATCTTTGTAGCCTTGTAGTCAATTAGTTTTTTTAAAAATACAACTCAGCAAATATATATATAAATAATATATATATATATATATATATATATTTGTTTGGGAGTATTTCGGGCCCAAGCGACGAGCTTCTTAACGAACCGAACACGAGCTGTTCGCGAACAACGAGCCGTTTTGACAGCCCTAATTGTATGTATGTAAATGCAACTTTTTAAAAATGATTAAATTTATAAAGGTTTATAACATAGCACTCAATTCTTATGTATTTATATGTCTAATACTTAAGTTTAAATTTTTACATAATTTGCTCTTATCTATGCTTTAAAATATGTATTTCACTTTTTAAAGTTGAAATGATGATATTTTTATGTGATATGAAAGATTTGGGGTTATAAATGTAAAATTTAAAGCTTAGGTGTTAGATATGTAAATTCATTGGAATTGGATGGTTTATATGTAATGACCCTTAAAAATTTATTAAAATCAGATTTACTTTAGAACCCTACTTCTGATGCTTCCCGCTTATTGACCTCTCCGGCTAACTTCAGTCGTCTTTATTAGCCCCGCTTATTAGGTTTTCCGTTTTCCGGCGAGGAAGCGGAGAGACAACCCCAGATGGCGCGCAATGAGGAGAAGGCACAGTCGATGCTCAATCGCTTCATTGCGATGAAGAACGAGGAGAAGCGCAAGCCCAAGGAGCGTCGTCCATACCTCGCCTCGGAGTGCCGCGATCTCGCCGATGCCGACCGATGGCGCAGTGAAATTCTCCGAGAGATTGGTGTCAAGGAGGCTGAGATCCAGACCGAGGGCCCCGACGAGCATCGTCTCCGTGATCTCAATGACGAGATCAACAAACTTCTTCGCGAGCGTGTCCACTGGGAGCGCCGTATTGTAGAACTTGGCGGACAAAATTACACGAAGAACACCGCCAAGATGACGGATCTTGAAGGTAACATCATCGATGTTCCTAACCCTTCCGGCCGTGGCCCTGGTTACCGCTATTTCGGAGCTGCCAAGAAACTCCCCGGCGTTCGGGAGCTCTTCGAGAAGCCGCCTGAGATCAGGAAACGTCGCACTCGCTATGATATCTACAAGCGGATAAATGCCAGCTACTATGGATACAGAGATGATGAGGATGGCATCCTTGAGAAGCTTGAAGCAGCTGCAGAGAAAGAGATGAGAGATAAGGCAGAAGCAGAGTGGTGGAAGATGGATAAGATCAGAAAAGAGGCGAAGAAGGCCGTGAAGAGCAGCCAGGTTGTGACTGTGGAGCCTACGGCCAAGGAGATTTTGTTTGAGGAGGAGGAGGATGTGGTGGAGGAAGAGAGGAGGGAGAGGGAAAGGGAGGTGAGAGAGAGCAGCAAACAACAGGAGTTTGTTGTGCACGTACCACTGCCTGATGAGAAGGAAATTGAGAAGATGGTTTTGGAGAAGAAGAAGATGGAACTGTTGAGCAAGTACTCTAGTGATGTGTTGATGGAGGAACAGAAGGAAGCCATGGCAATGCTCAATGTGCAGAGATAGTCCTGTTGTGGAGATTGTCCCGATTTTTAAAGACTTAGCCCTAATATGTCTAAGGTCCGTTGTTATTGGCAATTTCTTGTTATCTCATGCCATTGATCTATCACTGGTAATCTCTAATATATTGGCTTCTCGCTAAGAATATTTTATTTTATTATTCCAGCAGAACCCAATTTTTCTCTCTTAGATCACTACATTATTTTCTGTGTATTTGTTAAGCAGGGCAAGACTTGCCCTGCTTATTGTGCATGCTTGTTTATGAAATGTTGTGACTGAGAGGCAATCTCCTAAAGATGAAAATTATTATTCTTAACTTCCAGCGCCAAGTATTTTTGCTGTTTTCATAGGAGCTTAACTACTTTGCCAATTAGCAATGAATTTAGATCTTATCCAATTAGCAATGAATACACATCTAACATCTAAACTTTAATTTTTGCGTTTATTCCTCCCAAATTTTTCATATCACATAAAAATACCACAATTTTAACTTTAAAAATTTGAAATACAGCCTTTCAAGTTCAGGGAGGGTGGCCTGTATTTAAAAATTGAAGTTTAGTTGTTAGATATGTAACTACATAAGAATTGAGGGGTATGTATGTAAATCTTTATTTATTTTCTTTTTAATTTTTCCAAGATTTTGAAGGATATTAAGAGTGCATAGATAAGATACTAATGAGATAAATTTGCAAATTTATTAATTGGATTAATGTGGGCATAAGTATTTTTTGACAAATATATAGCTAGAGGACTCCTATTTAGCAAGTTCGACGGGTAACAAGAGTTTTGATAGCTTACTGTATTCGATTAATTAAAATGATGGAGATTTCATTCTCAATTCATAACAGTTTTTTCACTTATAGGGATTGCCATAGATATTGTGTTGTTCATGCAAACTGCTTACTGGGAGGCAAAAGGAAAAAGTGTTTGCATTTGCCTAACAATAAATTCTGTCTAAATTTGGAGGTTTGAACTTATTGGAACAAGGAAATATATGTTTGAGTGATTAAATGAATGCAATATTTTTAAATAAAAAATATTTTTAATTCTAAATTAGATTGTATTCCACTGCACCAAGCCTCCTTATGAATCTTGCATATGTAACACAGTATCAACAGTAATTTGCTTGGGCATCCAAATAAATCAAGCCCCGTTCATATTTCCATGGTGGTTCATATGTGCATTTAATTCAAAATTCATTATCAGATGTAAGATTATTTTAAAATATAGTGACTAGTCTTGGTTGATTAACTTGACTTTTGGGTTGATTGGGTATCCAACTTGTTAACTTTTATAACCTTATCATGTCTTTCTAATCAAAGAACTTTTAGTGGTGTTTGGTAGTGCCTTCTAATAGGATTTATTATCGGATTTGCTTAATCCAACCAAATACTAAAATGCAAGAGTTCTGTGGATTTATGAAATTTTCGGATTTAGGATCCCAAATTTAGCCTTATATTCGATAATTCGGCTCAAATCCATATTTATTAAATTCAAGGATGGGGTGGATCTAACGGATTTATGATTTATGTATTTAGTATATCCTACTAACGCTAAATCCTACTTGCAGCAAAACCCCCACTTAGCGGTGACATGACAATCTTTCTTGGTATCCATTTTTTTTTTTTTTTGTTAGTAAAAGAAGGGATATGAAGTTTGCCCTTAGATTACTTATGTTATTGGGCAGTTTCTATATTTGAATAAGAAGGGATAATGCGTTCAATATAAGGGCTTCAGTTTGAGAAATTAATATTGTTCATATTAGGTTGCCCTGATATGATGAAGTGCATAGCAAGAAATCTATACAATGCATGCAATATGGTTATATTATTTGGAGAAAAGTTGTCCTTCATCATGCATTGGAGGAGTGCAACTTATGACCCATCATAACGACTGATGCTGTTTTTCTTTAATCATGTAATTAAAGTGGAAATTCTCCTACGACAAATGTTTAATGCCTTCCGGGTGTTTAGAGCGATGTAATATTAGAGACATCATATAACTTTCTTTCTTTTATTTGAATTTCTTTTTATGTCACAAAAGATCAGTATTTGAAATGAGAGAAATTCACTGATAGAAGTTGTTAATATATATCCATGAAGAACTTAAATTGTGTCACCTTGGTTAGCCCCAAGATATCTTCATTATACAGAGTGTTGCCAGAGGCACTACTTCCATTTTGCTGATTTAAATAGATAATGACGCGACAAGTGATTTGATGCTCAACCATACTTCAATCTTCTATCAAAATTGTTGATCGGTATTGGCATCGATTTGTAATTCCCCCCTTTGTACTTGATAATCAGTGGCAATGTTACTTCATCGATAACATTGTAAATATTCTAAGGAAATAGAATAGACACCGGCAATAACTGAAAATTTTGTTCAGTGAATTTTTTTTTACGATAGAACTAGTACTCCTGGAAAACACAGTTTTCTTTAACGAACAACTAATACTTCCTCATATGCGTTCATAACTAGGCACGTGTGATCAATGAGCTAGCAATAAGGATCTAACAGATCCACTAGCAATAAGGATCTAACAGATCCACGAGGTTTACAGGAGGCGCATTTGAGTCTAGGCACATGCATCTGTCAAGGTGTCTTAGGAGGCTGTTGTTCTATGGTTTTCTCAAGTCTAGTGCATGTATGAGCATTTCTACATTTCTTCTCAGCGAATGACTGTATGTTATCCATTAAAGCTTGCTTGATAATTTTTGAAAGACCATCCCTGATAATCTTTTGGCAAGTATGCTAGCTATTTGATCTCTTGCTGTGTTTTATATGAGGAACATATTAGACTATTTTTAAGCTTATTTTATAAAATACCCATCAACCTCATTATACTTCACGCAATCATGTTGAAGAATGGTTTTTTATCATAATAGAGCTTTATACCTTTTAATTCAATTTTTACGCTATTTAGGATAATTGTTTTTGCCATAGTTTTTCGTATAGTTCCAGTGCAATAGATCTGAATTTAGCTTCAACCCTATGTCTGGCTATTTTATTTTATTTTTATTTCTCAAGTCATGTGGTTGCTTGTTTAAAAAGTGTAATCTTCTGATGTTAATCTCTAGTCTATCATAGAATTCACATTATGTGCATCTATGGCCGCTTTAAGAGTTAGATCGGACACTCAACATTTTTTAATGATATTTATTTTGTATGAAATTCCTTTCAATTATTACAGAATTATATATACCACTGAAGACGCTGTGCATTAGGTTTATGTATGAATTGCCTCACAACCCTGAGACATTGATAATGTTGGGTCTAGCACACAATAAGTATTGTTTTGGAGCTTGTCCAGGTGTTTGATTAAATTTCATGGGACAATTGATAGGCTTGCATCCCAACTCGCCATGATACAACTATGCCACATCTGTTATAGTTTTGGTTTGCTGCATATTATTGCAACCAGCAAGGCTAATTGTGATTTGATTGTGGTAGTCTCAAAGTATATTACTTCTATCTACCTTCACTATTTTTTCATTGCACGTCATAATGTGATCGTTTCATAACTAATTGTGCAATATTAACCAAATTTGGGATTTCCTGTAATTTCATATATCTGATCAAATATAACTTTTTTTTTTTTTTTGTTAAGGAGGGGAATTTAGGAAACCATTTATGTTTTTTCTTGGATTTTTTGCCTTGCCCATGCATATAAGAAGTCAAAGCCATGATTTTCAACAAGTCATTTTCATATGTCCATAAGCAGTGGGATGAAATCACTCTCGATTTAATTGGTCTTTTGTCTGAGTATTTACCATCTAAAATTCTTTGAAGGAAAAGATCACATAAGCTATGATCTTGTCCATAAGATTGCAAGATGCTACTATGTTGTGATCAGAGTTTCTAGTCATTTCTTCTTTATTATCAAATCTGCAGGCCATACTACTTAAGTTTAATAATTCAACATCATGTCTTGTACTTCGTAATATTATGATTATTTGTTTTTCTCATATGCCATTTGCTTATCATATGAATACTCTTCATAAAAAAAAGTAGATAAAAACTGAGAGACATGCATACAAATTTTCTTCATATAACTGAACAAGTTTCCATACCGAACCAATAGCTAAAATAAAATCTCTTAGAGCTCAAGGCAAACTCATACTGTTGCATAAAAGGACTGTTATCATTTATTTTGGTTGGTTTTTATTTATACTAATAAACCTTAATCACTAAAGTGGTAGGTGGTTATTTTTACTGCACATAATATATCTGGAGCATTTTCCACTTCTGTCCTCTTTTCTCTACTTTCGCTCTTCACCCAACTATGTCATATCTTTCACATTTATTTGTTAGCACTTGGTAAACCAGCATGTATTTAATTTTATAAGACATACTGCCTATTTGATTTTTATGTGGTTCTATCTACTTATATTATGCGTATAACTTTACACATTTTCATATAATGTACTTAAATTTGTGGAAGAAATAGATTTTAGATAAATAAATGTATGATGTATAGTATGGTTGATAAAAATACTAGGGAAAAGGACTTGCTTCTGCATTTAGAGCTAAGTTTTTTTTAAATACATGTTTTAAGTGTTATCAAATTGAATATTATGCTTTTGAGCATCCCAGTAGGAGCTTGTGTACAAGTATGTTGTGTGAAGATAATGAAGCAAGCATTTTGATGGTGTTCATGAATTTGATTATTAAATTAGTGATTTTGGTTATCCTTTAGTGAATAGTTCTTAGAAGGCCATGCATTGAATCATAGCCATTTCTAAGCTTTTGTAAAATCATAATTGAATGTGAATTGTATAAATGCTGTGTTGAAGTCAGTCAGTCAGCCTTATATGACATGAATTTGAAATTGGATCACATAAACATATAAGATTGGGGATGAAACTCTTTTTTTGGTATCACAATGTGTCTAGTTCAATTCAATTTTCTATGTCAAGTGTAATGTGTTACGCATAGAATTTGTATGTGCTATTTAGTGTTGATCTTGGCTATATGATTTAGGAGTTACTTATTTTTGGAGGTTCAATATATATGCTTTGTAGAATAGAAGGAGAGGGTACTTTTGAACCAATAAAGCCTAAAAGAAAATTGTAATTTACATAAGGATGTAATGCTCCCAATCAAGTGAAATTTTTTTGAATATTTTGAGTAAACATGCATTTATCACAGAGTGTAGGCCAGAGGTTATGATATAATGCCTTTGTGGCTTTGTGGATGTATTTGGGAGGCATGGATCACGTAAGTATTTTAGAGTTTTCATTGTTTGAGTTCTTTTTATTGATAATTTTTCAAAACATTTTATTTATGGCTCTAATTATGAACTTCTAGAAAAACTTAACA